AATGAAGTAATAACAGTCTTTCTTTCGCTTCCTTGTCAGTGCATTGTCAAGGAGCGGTCTGCAGCGTCGGCCCTTCGAACCCGACGACACATCAATAAATTTATTAGTTCGTGCTACGACTAGAAAACTCACGCTTCGAAGCAACATGGACCCTGTACGCGCCACCACGCGCGCCGCAGGCCAACCGACGTACCTCGACTCGCGCCGCGAGTCGTTGTATCGTCACGCGTGGGACGAGGGCCTCTGTGTGCCCAACGAGCCGTCCGCGCTGCGTCAAATGTGCGCAACAAGTCGTCCGGCGCTGGACCCCGCATCATGGCCGGGCCAGCATCGGATCCCGGAGGCCACCGGGCACTACGGGCACCACGAAGGCTATGTCTCGCAAGGACCCGTGCAGTCTCTGTTCGATGGACAAAGACATGGAACTCACGTCGGCTATGCTGCCGCGGGGTACCAGGCGCGTCAGCGACCACCGCCGCCGTCTTTCGGTACGGGTGGTTCGCCTGCCGTCGCGACGAGCTATCACGGCCAGGAGCGTCGTGCGGCTCCGCAGGGGACCTATGGTCGCCCTTCGCTCTCGAGCGTCATCCAAGATGGGCGACGCGTCGTAGCAGTTGTGACGCCGGCCGAGTACATGCCGATCTGCTCGACGCCGCGCGGCGCACACCCGAACCGAGATTGGTCCCGGGCGATGCAAGAGCGAGAAGAGAAGGTCCGAGCGGGCGAGCTGCAGCTGCAGCACGCGTGCGAGCAAGACGCGTATGAGCGTCAGCAAGCGGACCTTGGGCGAGAGGACCTCGCCCAAAAGCTGCAACGCTGGCGGCACGTGCTCAAGGGGAAATGCACCGTGTCGGGAACCGCAGCACCGGCGCAGAGCAAGGCCGTGCGATTGGTCGAGTGCGATCACGCCGGCGGCTCCACACCCTCACGCGCTTGCATGCATGGGGGCGTGGGGTCGGCTTTGCCTTTCCTCTCTGCAGCAAGCGCGCTCAGCGCTAGGTTGCCAACCCCGGTCCGCACTGGCGGACCCGACGACGACGCCGGTGCTCTCGCCGCGTCGGTCGTCTTGCGCACGGTTGACGCCATGCTGTCGGCGCCACCAGACGTTGCCGCGTCCGGGTCGACATGTGTCGACGTGGCGCCTGTGGTCCGCTTGGTCGGACCCAACGCCGACGCCGGTGCTCTTGCCGCGTCGGTCGT